CTTACCTTGACTTGAAGATTAAGTCCATTTGCCTATCCTTCTGGACAAAAATCTCTATTACTTTTTTGTAAAAGTCCTCCTTATCTTCTTGTAGTTTCAAAAGTCTATCATAAATCTAATTGATGGATTTATGATTCGAAAATGATAAAAGTAGGGTAGACATGTGGATATTATCCAGCTGAACAAAACGTGCATTTATCTAACAGCTACGTTTCTCACAGATCTTATTTTGAGCTATTTTCTAAAATCCTATGGAGAAATCTCATTGCTTTTTTGTGGAGGGAAGCCATGCGCAGCTTACTTCCTGGTTTTAGGACGCGTCTCTCCTCCTCTTCACCTGCTCTTCACCATAGACTGTATATATAAATGGACGTACTGTAGTGTCCGTGACGTCACCCATAGGATTCTGCAGAGTTGCCGTGAAGCCCTTAGTAGGCGGAGTCGGCCACTAACGGCTCGACTGTGACGTCAGAGTCTAATCCCGCCTGCTCCAAATAAGGGCAAAGAGGCGGAGCCGAGGCGGGACCTGCTGCCTACGAACTGGAAGTAAACAGAGCTAGCTCAAGCTAAGAAGCTAAGCGAACATGAAATACATGCATACCAAGTTACTGCTAACAGTGTAGTTCCCCTATATAAACGTTACATTCATAATCAAATGAGACAATCTGCAAGAGAATTAGCTATATTTTGTTATTCTTGTCATTCACAAGAAAATAAGAACCGATACATAGCAGAACAATTGTGGCGATGTTCAGCTTAATAAGCCTTGTTCAACATAATTTATTTAGCTAATACTACAGCAGGCGAACCAAGTCTGCGTTTCGCTGCATTCCTTGATCTCCAGTTATAACGACGGACTCCACCGCCCGGACCTAACGGAGCCGCAGTGGGCTAGCTCCGGGACGCCGGCTGGAGCTAGCCCCCTGCGGCTCCGTTAGCTCCGGCGGCCACCACTGGGATAATTGGGTCCCCTATTAACATTTGCTCCCGTTTAGCATTATGGGCGTCATAGCCATAGACTATAAAAGTCTTACCCAAGGCTGAATCATAAACTAAAATGTATATGTATGCATAAAGGGTTACGTCCTTAGCTGGCTAATAAGTAACAAGCTAAGCTACCAAGCACACAAACACCTGCGAACGGGGTTAACATGTATAATATTATCATTTTAGACTTCTTGGAAGTTCTGTTAGTACATTCAAGCGCACAGCATGACATTTTAATTGTCTGGTATTTGTAACAATATTCCCTAAAAGGCACAATCTCCACGAACACGGCTGAAGCTAAAGGGTCAAGTACAGTACTATGACTAACTAACGTTGTAGCCTCTATGGTTGTAGCCTAGCAGAGTGGACAAGTTGCTGTTAGCTGACAGTGAGGCATGTACATGTCCATCAAAGTGACCACGCCCTAATTTATGCAAAAACGTTAAGATCTAATATAAATAAAAGGGTCGTGTTAGAAAACAATTCACTCACAGATTCATAATCATGAAGGTGGAATCTTACTATATTGATAATAATATGTATTGCATCCATGGGTGTAAAGTTGGGCATTTTAACATGGGGGTCTATGGAAATTGCTCCTTTCTGCAGCCAGTCCCTAGCGGCCCATGTATGAACTGCAGTGTGTGGCACTTCCGTATTGGCGTCCCGGCTGTTCCCCAGAGTTTGCCGCTTTGGTGCCGCTGCAGCGTGTCTGTTAGGCCCCGCCCCGCCCCGCCGCACACAGGGAGATCGCTCTTCTGGAGTGAAGAGAGCGTAAATAATGATATTGCAAGTTAGAAACGTAAGATGCATTTTGACAGACAAGACGGACAATTGGGGGAAAATACCCTGCATTTTGAATGTCTGATAGTCCACCATTAACACCTTAGTCCCGTCTCGTCTCGTCAAAGAAAACTAAAAATAAATTTCGTCAAAGTTTTCGTTATCAAGAATCTATTTTTAGCTCGTCATCGTCTCGTCTTAGTCATGTAAAAAAGGTTGTTGACGAACATTTTTCGTCATAGTTTGTTGATGAAATGAACACTGGGGCAGATTCTAAAAGAAGCAGTGTTATACAGAGATGTGCAAAATATTCAGAGGGATCACAGTATTAAAAAGAAGAGTATTTGCTCACATGATGTGCATTAATGTATTGCAGGCAGGGGCGGACTGGCCATTGGGAATACCGGGAGTTTTCCCGGTGGGCTGGTGCTGTGCGTCGGCCGGTTGGTAGGGAAACGGGGTTCAGGGGGAGTGGCTGTACCCGTAGGATAGAAAAGGGGGAAGTGAGTGACGTCTGACTCAGAGGTCGCGCGGCTGTGGAGAAAAACGTGTTGCCCACATTCTGTTACTGAGTTTAGGCTAGTGTAGGAGCAAACACAGTGGTGGTGGCTTAAAGCCCACCTCCGCTCCGTGCCGTCCGTTAGATGAGCCTGGTCAGATTAATAAAAGAAGGAGTTCAAAACACCGGAATAAAAGTTATAACAATAATCTGATTTTTAATGGTAAAAAACACCAATACAAGTTACAGAGTACTCTGGACTCCCAGTTCTACTGCTGTGCGATACAGATATCGGGACCAGCCAGTCAGAAACAGGGGGCATTTTGCATGAATCAACAACAGTATACATAGACATATTTGGGGCGGAGTTGTGTCGGATCTTCCCTCCCATTTTACTCCTAAGCGAATCAGAGAGTCCGTGGGGAGGAGTTGTGTCAGCTGCTCACTCCCCTAGGTGTTCTTACTGGTTGGATTCACTTCGGGTCGGGCCCAATACAGCGAATCAGAGTTCTGGGAAAAATTATTTTTCTTCTGAACAGAGCGTGAGAGCGTCGGAAGTAAACAAGGACAGAGTCACTTTTTATCTTGCACTTGAGTTCACTCCTTTACTTTCCCAAGGAATATTTCACACAAACTCTATTCTTTCCTAAACAATCAAACATTATACACAGATATATTGGTGCCTGAGATTATATTGGCCCAGATTGAACCTTGAAAAGAATATGTGTGTGTGCTGGTGGGAGGAGGTGTATGTGTGTGTAGCAGGGTATCTGGTCAGTGAGTGTAGGTGAGCAAAGAATATGTGTGTGTGCTAGTGGAAGGAGGTGTATGTGTGTGTAGCAGGGTATATGGGTCATTGAGTGTAAGTGAGAAGGTTATATATATATAGGATTACTTAAAACAGTCCAAAATAATACATGTTTACTTCAATACAGTTCAAGATAATACCTGTTTACTTTAATACAGTTTAAAACAATATCTGTTGACTTTACTAGTTAGCTAGCAGGTTTATTGTTTTGGGTGCAGTCAATTTTGTCTCCACTTGTTGTTCAAATAATTGTTGAAAGAAAAAGTAAATCTGTTTCATATGGGTGTTGAGAGATGTATCCATAGATTTAGTCCCTAATTTTGCTCTCAAAGTGCACCAGATAGATGCATTTAACTTCAACATTTAAAAAAAAAATCTTCATGCATGCCCCCGGACCCCCCTAGAGGAGGTGATGTCCACCACCTGCCCACACCCCCTGTTAAATTGTCTCACCCACATTGAGGATGCTTCCTACGCCCATGTTTTATTCCATGCGTCAAGTTAGGCAAATTGGGTCCAAATGTTATTGCATCAATGATCTGTTAACATTAAAATCACTAAATATATGCTGTAACTATTTTGCTCTAGGCAACTCAAGGGCTCAGGTAATGTGATTACTATATGAATAATGGTCCAAAATAACATAAAATGCATAGGGTTTTTTGTTACGTAACATACTTTCGTCGCCGGCCGGCTGATACATGCCGCGCATTAAGTGGGTCTGTCTGTCAATTAATCCCCGGGCCACATTTTTCCCCCAGTCCGTCCCTGAATGCAGGGGTGGGGCACCACGTATACGGCCCGCGAGAGCATTTGATACGGCCCTCGAGGTCATTTATAAACACTCGCAAAAAAAAAGATTAAAGAAATCTAGACCGCAAAATAATTAAAAAAGCGAGTGCCTGACCTCCTGGTCAGGGTCCTTGAACACAACACAAGCCTAACGTGTCATCACGTGGTATATGTCTCGTCTGACAGGGGTGCAGTTATGCCGGAGAGCACAAGAACGCCACTCCGGCATTCAAAAATGGCAGTACCCATAAGGAACCGTACACATGCCGCAGTTTTTGCGTGGCTGTGTCTTAGTTGAAAGCCCAGTGGCGATCTGTTCATCTGTCATACTGATAATACAGTCAATAACTTTGTTGTTATTAGCATCTGGTTAGCTAGCTATGCTAACGAATATAAGAAGCTTTTTCTACAACCAGTGAGGTAAAGGCACATCTTTATATGATCATTATTTATAGTTATAAAAAAATAAGGTATAAAATACTATATGACAGTAAAAAAAAGTTGTTAATAAACAGAATACAGTTTAAAAGGGGAGTGATTTGTAAAATATCCATAAATAAAAATAAAATCTGCTTACAGTTCTGTTTTATATGGGTGTTGAGAGATGTATCCATAGATCTCTTAATGTTGCTCTCAAAGTGCACCAGATTAATGCTTTTAACTTCAACATTAAAAAAAAAATCTGGATTAAGAGGTTTCTTTTTCTTTGCACAGCATGAAAGAAAGGCAAAATAAATGGGCTGTGATTTTAGTATTTCTAAGCAGAGGTCAATCATTTGTATGGCCCTCGGAGGATGTTGAAAAAAATCGAAAAGGCCCTTGAGAGGAAAAAGGTTCCCCACCCCTGATGTAATGCATAGTGTTTATGTGGTGGGTAAGAGTCAGTGTCAGTGGGGTCCTGAGCCTTGTTAATGAGGCCAGTAGCAGACGGATATACTGTAGTGGACAGTGTGCTGTATAACTGCTTTTCAAAGATGGTCTTCCTGGTTGAATTTGCGCTAAGCTTCATAAGACAGATCTAAAAAAATCTAAGTTGATAGATCAGGTTAGGACCAAAATGTGTTTGTTTCTGAACCATTTAAGCATTCAGATGATCATTCAACTCGTTCCTCTCTCTGTGTCCATGTGCAGCTCCAGTCGGACCAGGACCACGGAAATGGGTTGGTAAAGTACATCCTGTCGGGCGAGGGGGCGGGCACTATATTTGTCATTGATGAGAACAACGGGGACCTACACGCCACACACCGCCTGGATCGCGAGGAGAAGGGTTTCTACATCCTCAGAGCCACCGTGGTGAACAAACGGACCGGACTGAAGCTGGAGCCGGAGACCGAGTTCACCGTCAAACTGCACGACATCAACGACAACGAGCCTCACTTCAGCAAGGAGCTTTACACCGGCAGTGTGCCGGAAAGGTCCGATATCGGTAAGCACGACTGACTGGACTTTCATTTGTTAGCTTAATGATTTTCAATATTAATCCCAGGGATGACCCAGATCTGGGGATATTTGTCATGACATGTCTACTTGCATCTCTCAGGGACATCAGTCATCCAGGTGACAGCTACAGATGCTGATGACAGTATGTATGGGAGCAGCGCCAGGCTGGTGTACAGCATCAGCCAGGGACACCCCTACTTCTCTGTGGACCCTACCACAGGTATGTCTTCTTCGAACCCCCCCCCCCCCAGCATCACCCTTGAAAGTTAACAGATTACATGTAAGGGGATTAGGTAGTTAATATAGTAATGGAAAAAGGTAACCGTATTCTGTTACAGTTACAATAGGAAATACTTAATCAGATTACTGGTACATCTTTTAAACAAATAGGAATGTCTAGTATGATTACAACATTACAATACATTTTTAAAATAAAGATCAATATATTATAGGTAGATGTACTACCTGAATTTTCTTTTTTGATTTTGATTTAGTCGATTTGTATATAATTCTTCTTAATTTTAAAGACCTTTTTGTTTTTGTAAATGCGCTAGTTGGATGAACTCTTTGTAGGAAGTTTTCGTGACAGTAGCCTCGCTATGATTTAAAATAAGAAAGTATATTAGAAATAATTAGTCCGTGAAAACATTATTTCTGAAAGTGAGAGCAGTAGAGTGGTGAGAATGACAGCAAGCACTAGCTACAAAAGTTATCCAAAACCATTTATACCCACTTTATCTTGTAAGAAAAAGTAGTAATAAGCATACTGTTATTTATATCCTGTCAGTCACGTTATTTACACTAACGGCTCTCTCAGACCAATCAGTCAAGTTAATTCATACCAACCGTAAACGCATTTTATTCTTACCTTAATAAAAACAATTGAATCTGATTTATTTGATTGTTGCATAAGGTTTACCATGATGTAGGATTGTGTTGGCATGTTATCAGCAGCATGTTATCTTTGTCCAGGTGTGATCCGGACGGCGCTGGGTCCTGGTGACATGGACCGCGAGCAGAGGGAGCATTATCAGGTGGTGATCGAGGCTAAGGACATGGCCGGACAGAGGGGGGGTCTCACTGGGACCACCGCGGTTAACATCACCCTCACTGATGTCAATGACAACCCTCCCCGCTTCATTCAGAGTAAGACAGCCTACACATGATGAAACACGGAGTCACACACTCTCGTTAGTTATACAGCTCAGAAGCAGCAGAAAGCATAGTTGTCATGTTATTTTCCATACCGTTTCACACTGAATGGAGTGGAGAAAACATCTTCAGAGTGTGAAAAACGTGCAATGACATTAATTGTGTCATTCCTTTTATCTTTCTAGATTTAGCTACATGTTGAGATTATAACAGTTAGCATTAGCCTGTGATATATGGTACACAGTATCAGCTGTCAGAACAACCCCTCAATGTCTGAAAGCAGCTTAAGGATAGCAGTTACATTAAACATTTAGAAAAGAAGCAAAAGGCATATCACAGGAAAACACAAGTTAATCAAGGTCCAGAGTTAGAGTTAGGGCTTGGGGACAGTTTCATCCCTGTTTGTTCATCTCTGTTAAACTAATTCAATGATGGATCAGTGATGGACAAGGTGAAAATCTGGTATATGGCGGACTGTGTATGTACAAGTTGCTAATTGAGGCCAAATTGTTACCTGGACAGTCAGCGGTGTCTAGTTTGTGAGTTCCTGTATATTAAATGGTCATTTCTGTACCATGGTCCTAGTAATATTGGATTTGAAAGTGTACAGAAGAACATTTAATTACATGTAATCCAGCCAAAGCGACTTTACATACATTTCAAAACAGTAAACATGCCAATAGGAGGAATTTGGGGGAAAGTATCTTGTCAAGAACACTTGAAACACATTTTTAGTGCAAGGGCTCTGATTGGTCGACACGTATTTATCCCCTGAGCCACATCCATTACACATAACCATATCAGAGAATCAAATCAAATCAAGTTTTATTTATATAGCACATTTATAAACGATTTTTGGTCGAGCCAAAGTGCTGTATATATAATAAAAATAGCCTACAGTAGAGACACTTTACAGCAAATACAACAGCACAGATTGTTCAGAATATCAGTATGAGGAAAACGACACCCTCTATCCTTAGACCCTCACATCGTACAAGGAAAAACTTCCAGAGAAAACCCACAGTTTAAGGGGAACATGGGAGAAACCTCAGGGAGAGCAACAGAGGAGGGATCCCTCTCCCAGGACGGACAGACGTGCAATAGATGCCGTGTGTAAATCGAAGAGATAATACATTTTACAGCATATAGACCGAATGTTAGGAAATGCATGTGTCTGTAATAAGAAGATGAATCCACGAGGATGTAAGCTACAATCCTGTGAAGCCATCAGGGAAGCAGCATGACGAGACCCAAGGCAGGACCGCAGAGACAGGTTCAGCCACGACCCGAAGTCCACGACTTAATCCAGAACTCAGGATAGAGGATCCAAGACACAGGACTACAGCAAGAGGATCAGCCTCGACTCCGGATCCCGGCGTAGATATAGATACAAAACAAGAAAAAAGATTTGGCTGGGTTAATCGGAACAAGAGAATACACAGACACAGACAGAGAGGGGAAAGGTCATTGGATAAAAGTTATTCTTGATAACTAGTGGTGCACGATAATTATCGGCCCGATAATTATCGGTCCGATATTAGGAATTATGACATCATCCCAATAAACCCGATTAAAGTATTAATAGCCCCGATAATATAAAATATATTTTTTGGGTAAAAAAAAAGAAAAAAATACTGCGGTGTGGGCTCTCGTCATACGGATTTGGATGAGGGGCACTTGTTTTTCACTCGGCTCCTCCCGTTTTGCCAGTACTGTGGTATTAGTGGTTTAGGAAGAGGGGAGTTTTTCACAAATCCAGCGCTCCCTAACTATTTCAGAGTTAGATAGTTCGCTTGCTATTTGTATTAACAAATGCAATGCAGAAGTTCCACGAGGAGGGAAAAAGGCAACGAGCTATAATACTTCCAACCTGATTAGTCACCTGAAACATCGCCATCGCTACGATGGTGTGTTAAAAGCATAGGAAGACGCCTGCGCTGCTAAACTAGCGGCAAATCCAAAGCCAGCTGCAAAGGCACCGGGGCTTTTACCTATCTACGAGGCTTTTGAAAAAGGCAAGAACTTTATTTGGGAAAATAAATATGGTCACTTTGAAGAGTCAAAACTGTTCTTGGCTTTGTTTTGTTCATAGTAGTAATGCTCATGTCATTTGCTCACTACTAGTCTTTTTTTTTACCACCAGGTGTGCAAAAACTACAGGTACATTTAATATATATTATATATTATATTATTATCGGTTATCGGTATCGGTCTTGAGAAGCAGGAAGTTATCGGTATCGGTTTCAAAAACCCAATATCGTGCATCCCTATTGATAACCCTCTAGAAAGATCTCATGAACTTCCCCACTCAATCTATCAAGACCCGAGCAGTTCTATTAGATATAGGATAAGAAACAGAGAGAGGGAGCACAACAACCTATCTCTTCGTCAGATGCACTCCCCGGCTTATCTAAGCGACTCTGTACCCCATTACCCTCTACAAGGCCATAGACCAGCAGAGAGAAAATGGGGGGTAGGTAAGGGTAAGGGTTTTTAAGAATAAACCACAAGGGTCTAAAGGAAAAAAAAAAGATGAAATATAAGGTACTATATTTTAAGTAATCCTATCTACTATTCCTATATTCGAATAATGTATAAACTATTTTTAAAATACTTTATGAAATCCTATGTTATGTTATAAATATTAAAATAAAGAACTAAATGAATAAATAAATAACTAAATAAATGAATAAATAGATAATTAAACAAAAGAGAAAAAGTGAGTTTTAACTGTTGAATTAAAAAACCCCAGGGTCTGGGCCGACCTCACATGGAGGGGCAAAGTATTCCAGAGCCTAGGGCCAGCCGCTGCGAAAGCTCGATGCCCTCGGGTTTTAAGCCTGGTCTTAGGCACTATCAACAACAGCTGATCAGCCGACCTTAAGGCTCTGCCTGGGGTGTAGCGATGGAGGAGTTCGGCTATATAGGCAGGAGCCAGCCCATTTAGGGCTTTAAAAACAAATAAAAGGAATTTAAAATCTATTCTGAACCGAACTGGAAGCCAGTGCAATGAAGCCAGAATTGGGGTGATATAGATAGAAATGGTCGGATAAAGCAGGATTATGCGGTTCGACTAATAGTTGCTCAATTTCAATACCATAAGTCAGAACAAGGTTTATTTACACTCTGACGGAAACCAACAGAATCTAATATAGAGTAAAATGCAACGGTAAGGCTATTTTTATCATCGTCAACATGAATATTAAAGTCACCTACGATAATTACTTTATCTGTTTTAAGTGCCAAAGTTGATAAAAACTCAGAGAATTCTGATAAGAATTCTGAATAAGGACCTGGTGCACGGTACACTGTAACAAATAAGATTGGCTGCAAAATGTTCCAGGTCGGATGCGTAAGACTAAAAACGAGACTTTCAAAGGAGGTATAATTTAATTTTGGTTTAGTATTGATAAGTAAACTTGAGTCAAAGATTGCTGCAACTCCACCTCCTCGGCCTGTGCCTCGGGTTTACATCATATTCTTCAAATAGTCAATCTGTCCCAGTTTGGCAAGACGTTGGACCCAAACACAGTCAAAACAAAAGAGGGAGGCAGGTATATATAAAACAAAACCGGGCAAGGTAAAACAAATAAAGACAAATTGAGTGCAGACCACAGAGGGCACGAGGAACACAGGCAGGAACACAGGGAATCAGACAGGAACAAAGACCACAAATATATATGTACACACAGGACCAATCAGAAAGACAAAACACAGCTGGAGGACCTTAGGTGAAAAGGATCAGACAATCAGGCGGGAAAACACAGACAGGAAGTAAGAAGAAAAGACAGGAAAAAATACATTTCAAAATAAAACTGGAAACAAAATAACACCAGGATCATGACACTAGTATCTGGCCATTTTACCCCAAAAATATATATGTTTACATACTGCGCCTGTAGTGATGTGTAGCCATGCAGACAGTTTGGGTTACTCTGAATAATCCAGAAGGTTTCAGTGGAACTACTCTGGTTCAAGAAATAGTTCCTAACTGACAGCCTCTTGGGATTGTCCAAAGTTACGGAGTACTGTCTCCGGAAAAAGATGATGCTATTGAATTTTTCAAAAGTAACTATTTTAGTGCTGTGAGCAAGATAGAATCAGGGTAAAACAGGAAACTACCACAGGGCCTCGTTCCTCCGGGGTCCCAAATATTTACTGTGGAAAAGAGTTCTGGTAACGTGATGTCATTCAAATATGTTTGGGAATATGCACGATTTAACCTGAAGTGACAGGAACCCTAAAGTTGCTTCTGCTCCTCTTAAAGTGGACCTATTATGCTATATTGGAAAAATATATTGTAGTATAGTATTTATGTATAAAAGACATCAAATAGTGCATTTTGCATGATAGGTCCCCTTTAAGTTTAAATACTTTTATTATTTTACTCCAAATTTGCCCTTATGAAGCATATTCAAAAATATATGATGCATGGTTATCGATGTGTTTTTTAATATTATTTGTGTGAACAGAGCGACAATGTGTGAATAAATATTTATTTAAAAATGTATAATTTAGAAAGATATCCACAAATGCTTTTAATATACTTGTACATTATTTTAATGTATTCACAGTTTATTTTTATAATATAGATTCAACTTGTGTTGTTCAAGTTCACAAATCTTTTTTTTGCATTTGTGGAAGGTTATTTAATGAAGAGACAACACAAGAAGACACTATCTCCATATAACGTAGTAATCAAATGATCACCAATGGTGGTGACAATACTTATTCTGGCAGCTTGATTTGGATTAACTAACAAACCAGACAGTACAGTGTTCACTTTAAAGTCAACTATTTTCAATCTTAAATAAATGGGTACCACTTTAGAATAAGACTACCCTTATTCCCTGGCAAACGGATTTACAAAACTCTTTCAAGGACACTTGTGACTCTCTCTGTTTGGTGCAACTAGTTAACTCGCCAACTCGGTTAAACCAAAAAGATTTAGAGAAGTCCACTTTGATTGATGTTATTCTTACAAACGCACCTCA